ATGTTAATTTGATTCAATATAATTTTTTTTTTTTTTTACAATAACTCATTAAGTCAAACTGATAGCTTGTTTATTAAGCCTTGTATATATTTTTTAAAAAAAAATTATATAATTAATATTCTTTTAAATATATTGTTAAGTTGTTTGTCTTTTTTTAAAAAAAATTTATACTTATTATAACTAATTTTTATAAAATTAATAATTGGTATTTTTTTTCTTATTATTTTAATTAAACAAAGTTAAAATTAAAATTTTTATTTTATTCTAATTAGAAAACAATTTAAGTGATTATTAGATTCTATTAAATTTAAATTTTTTTAATATAGTTGAAACTATATTTTTTCAGATTATAAAAAATATCATAGTTAACAAGAATTTTTATAACTATATTAATAATATTAAAAGATTTATATTATTATAAAACAAAAAAAAAATATTAAAGAATTTAATTTATTGAATAATTAAAGATTTATATTAGTAAAATTTTTTTAATCAAATATAATTGTTAAAATATATTATATTAGTACAATATTTTTCAATTTTTATTAAATTATATAAAATCTATAATTTATTATAAGTTATTAATTTATTATATTTAAAAGAGATTTTAAATATACCATGTTTTTTGAAAGGTATTAAAATTTTTTTATTTTATTTTGCATAGTTGTATAATTTTATATTTCTCTTTCTTTCTCTCCAATTAGTTTCTTTTTTTTAATATTATGAAGAACAATTAGCTTTAACAATTAATCAATATAAGTTAATAGAAGAATGTTATACAAAGTACTTATGAAACATCATAATCAAACTTGGAGAATTTAATTTAAAAATAGTTTATTGATAGAATAAATAGATCTACATGTATACAATGCTTGAGCATATTTTGTATTCAGTAGTCAATAGGCATAATAAACACATGCTATCAGTTTGACTTAATGAGTTATTGTAAAAAAAAAAAAAAATTATATTGAATCAAATTAACATATTATTAGAGAACCAATGCTCATTATAATTTCTTAACAAAATAATATCTCTTATTTAGATTGTAACATTCCAGGATTATTATACAAAGAGGCAGCCTGAAAAGGAAGCCAAGTTTTTCTAAAATTTAACAGTAATAAATGTCAGTCTTGGCACTTCTCACACGTGGTACTTCACTATGTGTATAAATGTCGATAATATGAATAAACAATGCACCCACTTTTAATGGACAAATAATTTCAATAAATAGTCATTGTTCTAGACCATTTCTTCGTTCTTTTTTTTTTTTTTTTAAACAAGAAATTTCTAGAAAATAAATTGTTTCCGAAATTCTTAAACGATAAATTAAAATACATGTTTAAGGTATATAATATTTAGATGATGTGAAAATATATTTTTTATACAATTATTGCAATCTAAGTAATATCCAAATAAATAATTCTCTATGTTGGCGGTCCAAAGTTGACAAATTGTTGTTGGGGTTGTCCATAGTTAACATATTGTTGCTGAGGTTGAACGAACTGTTGCTGGGGTTGAACGAATTGTTGCTGAGGTTGGACGAATTGTTGCTGAGGTTGGACGAATTGTTGCTGAGGTGGAACGTTGCTGACGAACTGTTGTTGAGGTTGAACATTGTTGAACTGTTGGGGGGAATATTGAGTGTTCTGATTGAGATAGTTTGGTTGATGTTCATCTGCAATCGGTGCTTGTCGTTGTAGAGCACCGTTAATGTAGTGTGGCTGTGATTCGTCAGCTGTCGAATTCAGCCTTTGTTCTGTTGAGCTTGGTATTTCAAGTATTCCTTCTGGCATTTCATCATTTTTGTTTCTTCCCTTGTACTTGAATATAATGGCACCAAATATTACGCAAAAGAGGATCCCACCCACACTTGCACCCACAATTATTCCAATTAACACTGATGTTGGCATAGGTGATGAACTATTCGTGGTAGAAGTAGGTGAGTTAAATGAATTTGTAGGAGTGCCGCCATTGGAAGTAGTAGAACCGGTTGTTCCAGGTGACGTAGAATTGCTTGAAGAAAGAAAAGACGCTGTCCAGGTATATGTGTTTGTGTCGAGTATGTATAGACCCGCACTGGTGCTTACTGGGGGCCCAATTGTATTCGTGATGTTTCCTGTTTAATTGAAAATTTTGAATTTATCAATTGCAAATTCGTAAAGAGAAAACAATTCAAAGAATCGGTTCTTACCGAATGCAATTATCATGAAGTTATCGACCAAATCA